GGACTGGTCACAAATTTTCAGGTGGAAAAAAAAAATTACCATTTCACTCAAAAGCAAATTTCCTGCCTGTGTGAATCTTAATGAAATTCCCTTTCAGGAAAGCATTTAGATAAGATTGAAATGCTGTCACTAAAGGGCAAGAACAGCGAGACTCACAAATTCATTCTGAAACGCTATTTCTTTTCAAAACATTTATATTAAATGTCAATACAAACACAAAGCTCCCGATTTTATCTAAACAGCATTTCACTTAACATGAAACAAGCATCTGGGGAGAGGCGTGCCAAAATCCTTTGGTATTTGGTGTTGCCCAGGTTTCCCACCCCTTACCCTTCCCCAGAGGTGGAAATGCTGTTTCGGCCAGGGGTCAGCCCTGCTCAGTGCCAGTGTGACTGTCCAGGCCTACTGGTGTGCATCCCTGTCCTCCGCTGGATGCAAACCCAACTGGTCAGCTCTGGAATGCAGGTCACACATCACCAGGAGATCATGCTTGGTTGGGGGCTGCGCCTTCAGGGTGAAGGATTCAAGTTGTCTTCACTGGTGCAGGCACAAACCACATGTTGACAGCCCTCATAGCCATAGTCCACGTGTGGCCACAGATGTATAGCTAATGGAAACAGGCATCTAGGGTAGCTATTTGGAAAGGTGGCAACAACCCAAGGTCAGCACACAGAACCATAAAGCACTGGCACCTGCTCTTCCACACCCAAAATTCAGACGCCTTCTCAGGACCCATTGCTGCAATAAGTATGGAAGTCATCTTCCTTGCCCCACTACTTCCAGGCAGCCCATTCCCACCAGAGAAGGCGAGAGCCAGGAGTTTAGCTCCTCATTCCCCTGGTACATGAGCTGGAAGAGGATCACCTCCAAAGGGGAGTCGTAGGGTTGGCATGCTCTGTGGGCATGGAGGGAAAGGGGACCTTGGACACGCTACACAAGTAAGTGTGAAAGGCTGGGTTACAAGGGATGCTCTCTCACCCAGCCTCCCTTTAGGGGATTAGAATCATAGAATCATAGAATGTTTTGGGTTGGTCATCTAGTCCAACCCCCCTGCAGTGAGCAGGGACACCTCTAATTCGATCAGGTTGCTCAGAGCCCCGTCCAACCTGGCCTTGAATGCTTCCAGGGATGGGGCCTCCACTACCTCTCTGAGCAACCTATTCCAGTGTTTCACCACCCTCATTGTAAAGAATTTCTTCCTTATATCTAGTCTAAACCTACCCTGGTTTAGTTTAAAACCATTACCCCTTGTCCTGTCACAGCTGGCCCTACTAAAAAG